CTACATTCGAACCTCATGAATTCCAAAATCACAAAATCAATTTTGAATTTTATTGAACTATGACTATGTTTAGTAAATTATCTAACCTAAATGATAATATATGATAATTTAATTGATTATAAATAAATTTCAAGTTTAAGGTTTATATAGGATAACTAGTACAGAGCATATGCGATGCATGGGGTGCACAGGCTATTTAAAGAAGATTATTATTATATACATGAATAAATAAAAATGTACAAGATATATATAGTATGTGCTCGTGTGATGCATGAGATATATTTATTTGAAAAATATTATATTATAAAATATAATATTAAATAAAGAGATTTATAATACGTAGGGAAATTGTATAATAAGATAGTAATCGACAAAGATATAATTATATATTATTAAATACCTTGTACACAATATTATAAGTTTGATTATTGGTCAACCCGTTATTCTCACAAACTAGTATCTTCAAACCCTTCTATTAGTTACACGCAAAACAACATACAATAAATACATTAAATGAAGTGGTAACCAGTACCTTTTCTACAAACATATTAAACATTTTCATGTTAAGAATAAATAATTGATTAGGAAAGAGTGTAGAAATTATTAGAAAAATAAAACAACATGGTTTGAATGAGATTAGTAAAAATACTTCACGAGTTGAACATTTAAATTAAATAATTGAAGAAATTGGAAAGTAATATTAAATGATAGGTATTCTCTGAAACGTACAAGTTGCATGATTAGTACCCATGGTTGATCAGTTTCTTCATAGTGGCTCTTGAAAGCCAAACGCTTGTCTATACATATTCACCCCAAACCGTGCGTTACAAAATTTTCATTGCATTAAATTTCAAAATTGGTAGATATGTAATGCATTAAGAATGAATGCAACTATTTAGATATCGTCAGTTTTTATTTGTTTCTCTTATACACTTTGAATGTCAACAACCAATCCTATAACATCTACAATAAAAAAACCAATATGTTATAATTTAATTACTTTGAAATAAACAAATAAAATTAGAAACAAAATGAAATAATCTTACCGAACAACATCGATTCATCGATTTTGTTGACATATGTAGAGTTGCAAAGTCTTTGAATTGAAATCGAAATATAGGAAATTCTTCCTTGCACTTTGTAAACATAGTGCTCCCGTGCAACATGATCTTAAAATCACTGGATGTCGTATGATACTTCCCTATATTGTTGTCCACTTGATAATTTTTTATACAAATGACCATGCCCTCCTCAAAATTCCTTTCTCTAAACGCAACCAAGTTGATTGCCCGTATTCATGCCGTAATGCGATTACCCTAAACATATACGAAAAAGCAATCAATGAAAAAATAATTTGTTTTAAAAACATATAAAATGTATATTATATATACACGAAAATATATGTTTGATATTTTGAAAAAAAAAAGTAAAAATAATTTGGCTTACAGTTTTATCACGTAGAACCAACTCAAGATAGGATTTGTATGTGCTGCCCAGTCTTGGAAAAATATTCTTTCAATTTGAACTTTAAGCATACGTCTATTAAACCTATTAACTTGTTTGATTAAGCCAAATTCTTGATTCATTGTTATGAATGACACACTAATTAGAGATTTTTTTTTCCACAAGTGGTTGAAAGTGAGGAACACGCTGATTCAATATTTGGAGATTTATAATTTATAATTGCATTATCGCATTATATGTAGAGATAATGTGAATGAAATCATATTAGATCACTATATGTAGGAACAAATATGATCAGATTTATATCGCATTATAATTATAATTGCATTAAAAAAAACAGATTTTCCATACAACAAAACACTTCAATTAGGCGTGAAATGTGATTTAACTTGAAAGAATTTTTTTTATTGACCGATCAAAACTTTTTTTTTATTGGTTTAGTAGTAAGTAGTCAATAATAGAATGCATTAAATAAAATAAGTAATAAGTATTTAAATAAAACTAGTGATGGAAATAGCATACATTAATTGTCTTTGACTTTTCTACCTACTAATTTTGGTAAATGGGATGACTTATTATATAAGTATAGACTAATGACTGAAAAGCAAATTAAATATAAAAATATTTAATAAAATTAATTGCTAAATCGGTTAAAATAAAATTTCCAACTATTTTTTAAACTATCCAATATATTATAAGATAAGCTTTAGTTTATTAAAATAGCTAATCCTACCAAACTAGAATGTAATTGAATCCTGTCGGGTGCAGGTTTTGGTTGACTCGCATACATTTTACTCCACTCGAACCCGACTAGTTACTCGATTATTCGTTTGCACATGTTTTAATTTTATTTTTGTGGAATAATGGATGTGTATAGTGTTACACCGAACATATATGAAATTTGTTGTTATTTGATATGTTCTTTAGCATATGTTGCATAAGTAAACATGAGTAAAGATGTCACTAGACTTTTGATTATGCTTATCACACAAGTAATCGTCCTATCACATGAGTTGTGAGTAATATGATGTGCCTATGTCATACTCATATTATGTGTATGTAGTATGAACTTTTGTCGTATAAATATATTTTTACAGTCGACTTTGATATATTTCATATCTAAGTCTTGAAGCCAAATCTCCAGAGGAAGATAAATTATTAAGTATATTTGTCAAGTAGTACGGGTTAGATACTTGAGAAGTATCTTGACTAAAGATTCGTATTACATAGTAGAGTGACATGTCGAAGCTATGTTATGACACGTATATCATAGTGCGTGTGCTTTTGAACGACCGTTAAGGATTGACAAATGATTCCCTACTTTGTCAGATGTGAATCCTACGGATTTTGTTGTCCAACTTTGTACGAAGCCTTTTGACTTAGAACTGTGTTATGAAGTCGAGACTTAGTGTTACTACTTTAATATGTCCTCCAAGAACTATGATATATACAGTTCGACGGAGCATGTTAGGAAAGCACCTAAGTTGATATGAAATTTCATTAGTGTTTAGAAATAACTGGTTCAGCTTCAACACCTTAGCCCGGGGGTTATATTTAATATAACCATGTTGTGTATATAGCACATAGGGATTGTGTATGTACTGATTTTTGAACAATTAGAGGTTATCGTTAGTATAAAGTATTATGTTAGTTAAATGATAATTTAATATAACACTGTTATTGTTCGTTTTGGTCACACGCTTTATTACCCGTATGAGGCAAGAAATTTGCTAATAAAGATTTTAGTTATAGTCTCGGCTTACGTGGTTGAGTGGGATTGTTGTTTGTAATTAATTCCATCAGTTAAATTAACTAAACAATCACGTAATGACTTTGTTACAAACTCTACTAAGTAATTACATTATGGAGTTTGGAGTTAAATTTCTATTGATATTGTCTCTTCGGGAGACAACTATATAAATAAATGTCTTGTGCATCTTAAAAATGTGTCGATAACAAAGCAATAAAAAGTCAAAAGGTGGTCAAGACAAATACTACATATATCTTTATTAAGTTCATTTTTTCTTGTTGAGCCGAAACCATCA